AGAGGCACAGCCCCCAGGGCCTCCAGGAGTAGCCCTCAGCCTCTTTGGAACCCTCCAGGGCAGGGCTACTCCTCCTCCCACCCAGCCTAGCATCCCCCTAGGCGAAGGCAACACTCTGGTGTGTCCCTGTCTCTGAAGGGACCAGTAAGCATCTCAACCCCCCAGTCTGCTCAGCAGGGCTGAGTCACATCTGACTCTCTCCCAACACACACGTCACCCACCAAGGCACGGACACCTGTGTCAGCAGGTTAGCAATACCCAGAGGCCCGCATAGCACGGCAACAGCTTGACACAAACCGATCCCAAACCTTGCGTGCTCTCACGAATGCAGAGGCGTGCGCGTGGCCCCTCAGGAAGGCCCAGGGGGGCGCCATACCGCCGAGGCACAACATCCTCAAGACCCAAGGTGGGTCAGAGCACGGCAGCCGCATGGGTGGAAGGCATTCAGTGAATCCATGCGCCCACGGAAACCCACTGATACCACAGCCTGTGGTTAGACTCCGGCCTCCCGTTCAGCCTCATCCCACCCGGCTCTGACTCCTCCCCCACGATCTCCCGACTCCTCCCCCAGGAGCCCCTTCAAGGTTGCACAGCCCGAGCTCGGGCTTCAGCGGCTTCTCGTCCCTCCCGGCTCCAAGGCCGATCTCACCCACTCCCGGGGAGTTCCATCCACCTTCTGTGTCCGGGGCTCCCAAACCCATGTCCAGCCCAGACTCCTCCCGGGGTCCCCCGCCTGACACCTCCCCCGGGGTATCTAATGCACATCGCAAAGTTAAGTCCGACCCCCCAGACCTGCACCCCACATACGCTTCTCTCAGGGGCTCGCGCCCAGCGTCCAGCGGCGGCCCTGCGTCCTTCCCTCACAGCCACACGCAAGGCCGGAATCGCTGACCCCGCCTCACCTGCTCCGCGGCACTTCCGGGACCAAGGCCTGGGCGCGGCCCGCGCGGCCCCGGCCCTCCCCGCTCCCCGCTCCCGCCCCGCCGCCGCCTGCTACCGCCAGTCCCCACCCGGGTCTCTCCGAAGTGCGTCAGGAACCAGGACGCCACGCCCCCGGCCCCCCAGCCTCTCAGGGCTCCCCACCGCACGGACGGTAACGTCGGAGCTCCCCCGCGGGCCCCCCCACGCCCCTCCCCTGCACCCGGGAGAGAGGCGCCCGCGGCAGGATGCGGTGTCACCTCCCGCGCCCCCTCGAGAGCGGCCTGCAAGTGTGCTCCATCACCGTCTGCGTCTCGGCAGCGCCGACGCTACCTTCTTCACGGCCTGCCTCTCGGCCCTGGAGTCGGCTCCGCGAGGGCAGAGGCCTGTGTCTGTCCTGTTTCCCGCCGGAGCCCCCATTCCCGGGAGGTAGCATTTGGGGACCGGCCGCCGTAGGGATTCACACGCCGCGGTGGCCGCCCGCACACAAATGCCCCAGCAGATACCACACGAAAGTAGACACACAAAAATACAGAAAGAGGCAGAAATGCCTCCACGCGCGCTCCCAAAACAGACTCAACAGTCACAGCGACACCCAGGGGTCCTTTCCCATCCCCGTGGGAACTGGTCTGTCCTTTCTCCATCTCCATCTGCCCTCTGCTTGAACCCAGTCTCAGGACTGGAAGTGGGGGGTCTCCAGCCTGGACACACAGAGGGGGTCACTGGCCCACAGGCCTCAGGCCGCGCCTTCAGCTATGTCTGCAATTTCCTCTCCCCCTTCCTTCCCTCCTCCTCTCTGAGGCTCCCGCCAAGAAGGCCTCCCCCTCACCCAAGCCCCAGCGCAGGAAGGGGGGCCCAGAAAGGGGGGGGGGGCTGAGAGTCTGAGCAGGAAGATCACCCAGGCCGCACGCATGGATCACAGAACGCGTTGCCCGTCCAAGCCGAGCCCAGGTGGCAACGGATGCGCGCGCACCTGCAGGTTTGGCCAGGGGCAAACGCGTCTCTGCGGCAGGCTCCGCGCGGGGCACCGGGCGGCGGCAGCTCCAGGCTGGGCTCTGCAAGGCCGGCCTGCTCCCGCTCTAAGCTCCGGTCCGACATTCAGTAACCCTGTGTGACAGGAGCTCTCCGAGCCCGAGCCCTGGGAGGAGGGGAGGAGAGCCCCTCTGTCGTAAACTGACATCTGGGGCAGGCCTGAAGAAGAGGGGCTCTTCCCTGGGTGAGGGGGCCTCCTGGGAGGAAGAGCAAGGTGTAGAGAAGGGGTTAAGAGCCCCGGGCTCTAGGGGCAAAGAGCAGTGGGTTCAAATCCTGCCCGTTTTGTCAAATTAGTCAAACTCCGTGACTCAGTTTACTTATCTGTCAAGTGGCGACAATGGTACTCACTTTATAGGGTGTCTAGAATTAAATGAAAGAATATTACAAAGGGCGCGCGCGCACACACACACACACACACACAGACCGCCTGGCACCTAGGCAGAACTTCATCCTTATTATTATTTTTGTTATTAGTAGCTTGGGGGCGGGACCCTGCCACCGGCCTCCCCAGCGGTTTCCTGTGGGAGAGCAGACGGCCCCGCCGGCCTCGCTCCCCCTCCTCCCAGTCGCTCGCTCCTCTCCCCTTCCTCTCCCGGCCCTTTTCCTCCCCGCCTCCCCCCGCCCCGCCCCGCCCCGCCCCTCCTCTTTCCTCCGAGGAAACTTTTCCGCCGGCTGGTCCATCGGCCCGTGTCCGGCCCGCGCTGCCGCGGCCTGGGAGCCGAGCGGGGCAGGTGGGGCAGCCGGGACCGGACGGGGCGGGAGCGGCCGGGTCCCGGGTGTATGCGGCCGCCGGACGCGCCGGGGCCGGCAGCGGGGAAGCGGGGCGCTGACGGTGAGTGAGCTCGGGCCTCCGGGCCGGTGGGTCCCGGCGGGGCGGGCAGGATGGGAGAGGGAGGTGGCTTCCCCTCCCCGGAGCCCGCCCTGGGAGTGGGGAAGGCACTCGCCTCTCGCTCCTCCATCCCACTACCGGGACGCCGAAACCGGGCGTCATTTGGGGACCCCACAAGGAGGCGGAGCCTCCTACGGCCCACTTCCCTGACCCCTCCAGTTGGAGGGACGTCTGCGCCCAGGGAAAGGATCCCCCCAGGGCAGGGCCCAGGTCTGTAACAAAGTTAGGGAGCTGCTCTCTCCAGGGCGGACGCTGGGGCTGCGCTTCCAGCGAGGGGAGCTACCCGGAGGAGGCGGGGTCAGGATCAGCTCTGGGCTGGGGAGTGGGATCTGACCTTGCTGACCTCGCAGGCTGACAGGGGGGCTGTCCCTCCGCCCCCAGAGCAGCATGGATGCCCCACGGAGGGACATGGAGTTGCTGAGCAACAGCCTGGCGGCCTACGCACACATCCGCGGTGAGGGTGGGCCCCCGGGGGTGGGGGCATGGGCCCCACTCCACCCCTTCCCTCCCCACCTCCCTGCCCCATCCTCCCAGTCCCTCACTGCCCGATGGCGGCTACCTAATGTCTTTCAAATGAGTAATGTCCTTGTCCCCCCCAAACTTAGAACCTGGAGTCCTTCCGAAATGGAATAACTCCCACCCGCCAGGGAGCCAGGGCTCCTCCATGACTTGTGCCCTCTGACCCCCAGCTAACCCCGAGAGCTTTGGCCTCTACTTCGTGCTGGGAGTCTGCTTTGGCCTGCTGCTGACGCTGTGTCTACTAGTCATCAGTATCTCCTGCGCGCCCCGCCCGCGGCCCCGGGCCCCTGCGCCGCGCCGGGACCCCCGCAGCAGCACCCTGGAGCCCGAGGACGACGAGGACGACGAGGAGGACACGGTGACCCGGCTGGGCCCCGACGACACGCTGCCGGGCCCAGAGCTGAGCGCCGAGCCAGACGGGCCGCTGAGCGTCAACGTCTTCACGTCGGCAGAGGAGCTGGAGCGGGCGCAGCGCCTGGAGGAGCGGGAACGGATCCTGAGGGAGATTTGGCGCACCGGGCAGCCGGACCTGCTGGGCACCGGCACGCTGGGCCCCAGCCCCACGGCCACAGGCACCCTGGGTCGCATGCACTATTACTGACCGGCCCCTTTCCGCTGCAAAGAGCTCTGCGTACTGGACATGCGCAGGAACTCACAGCTGCCCCAGGCGTTGGGACTGCCCCTGCCCGCGGTGCTATGGAGACCCCGCCCCCACGGCTCCCCCAGTGCTATTGGGCCTGGATCCCCCCTTCTGGGATCCCCAGTCCTGCCAGAAAGCCCGTGGGGGACAGGACCCAGGGTCCCCAGCCCCTTTCGTGGGATCGGTTAAGAGATGACCAATGAAAACTGCATTCTCAGTGACTCAGTCTCCCTGTTACTTTTGTCCCCAGTGTCCTCCAGGCTTCTGCATGCAGGGGGCCCCAGATTGAGACCCCACTCGACTCTCTTACCAGGCTGACCACCTCCATCAACCCACCCAACACCTCAGCATACATGCTTGCATTCAGTTCACAGACTGAAAAAACACTCCACCGCCTCACAGCCTCACGCACAGAACAAGTTATCACTCGCATTCCTTCCTCACAAATGCATTCCTTCCCGTCGAAGGCCTGGGCGCACTTTGCCCCCGTTCTTCAAATGCTCTGGGATCCTGCATCATTGCAATCTCTCTCTCTCTCTCTCTCTCTCTCTCTCTCTCTCTCTCTCTCTCTCTCTCTCTCACACACACACACACACACACACACACGAGGCCCCGGGACATTGCAATCACACACACACACATAACCAGGCCCCGGGACCCTGCCCTTGACGCTAAGGCACTATTACCCCGTGTTAACCGTGTGTGCCGGAGCGGGGCTATGGAGTTCGTGTCTGAGCAGAGCTGCGTTCCAGCGAGCCCTTCCGAGCGGACCGTGGGGCCAGCTGGGAGGGGCCCCGGCTCGAGAGCAGGCCCGCCCGCCTCCTCTGGCGCACAGCTGGATTCCGGAATCCGGGCCCGCGGGCAGAGCCCGACCCCGCCTGGGCCCCTCCTGCCGGCCATTTCTCCAGCACCCGGCAGACGTCCGAAGGAGACACCCCCACCCGCCCCCGCCATCCGGTGGATAAAAATAGCCGCGCGCAGGCCTTGGGAACGGTAATGGGAGCCACATGTTGGCCAGATGTGCCCGGGAGAGACCGCCGGGAATGCGGAGGGCCCGGAGCGCCCGACCGGCCCCGCCCCTGTCCCGCAGGCCCCGCCCCCGCACGGACCAGGCAGGCGCGGGCGAGCGCGTACGCGGCAGTTTATTTTCTTGCGTTTCTCAAAGTCGTGTGCTAGGACGTGGGAGGCCGGAGCCTGACTTGCCCCCAGGTCCCTCCGTGGTCCCTTCCGGGCCCACCCTCAGTGCGTCTGTGTCTGCGTCTGCGCGTGGATGGAGCCCCGGGTCCGGGACTCCTGAGTCCCCTGCTTCATCTGCACCTAGTCGGGAGAGGGCGTTCAGGACAGGCCGTCAGGGGAGGGCCAGCCTCCAGCCCCGTGGGCTCCGCACCCCACCCACCTCCAGCAACTGGCGCTTCTCCTTCTCGCTCTTCAGCTCCTCCCAGATGTCGGTCAGCTTCCTCCTGCGGACGGGAGGCCGAGGGGGAGGGGTGGGCTGGGCAGGCTTAGAGCCCCCGGCCCCCTCCCTACCCACGCCCCTCCCCCTCCCCACTTACTCCAGCTGCACCCCCATCCGCTCCAGCGACCTCCTCAAAGACTCCATCTCGTTCTGTAGCCTCATTATATCGCCTCTGTCACTTTTGCTGTCCGTGAGATTTTGCGGGACCAGGGAAAGTAGGGTGGGAGTCTCTTGGGGGTCTGGAGTCGACTTGATAGAATGAGGATTCTTTTGAGCAGGGGCTACCTCTTTGGGGGACACCTGCTCTTTGGGGAGTGCCGCCTCTTCCGGGGTACCTTCATGCTTCCCAGGCGCCTCCTCAAGGAGAGTTGTAGCCTTCTCAAGGGCAAGCATGGACCCTGGCTTGGACTTAGACTCAGACTGGAATGGGGAGCTGTCCCTCTGGTCGAGAGGGTGTGTCATCATGCAGAGATTGGGCTCCTCTGCCATGTGGACCTCTTGGCATTGAGCCTCACTGGCCACAGGAGACTTGAACTTCAGCAGGGCTTGGTCCGGAGAGAAGTGATGGAACTGAGTGTTGTCTCTACTGGAGGCCTCTTCAGAGGGCACCTGCTCAGGGGTCAAGACCTTTTCTAGGGTGGGCGCCTCATCCCCAGGACAGACCATCTTTGGGCCAAGGACTTCATCCTCTGGTGGGACTTCTGGGGCAGGGGCCTCATCCACAGAAATGAGGCTGTCTGGGCTGGGAGCCTTGTCTAGAGTCAGGCCCTCCTGTGGGGTGGGGATCTTTGGGGCTGAGGCCTTGAACTCTAGAGTCAGGGCCTCCTCGGAGATGGTGACCTTATCTGGAGTCAGGGTTTCCTCTGGAGTGGGGGCCTTATCCGGAGACAGAGTCTTCTCTGGGCTGGGGGTCTTGTCCAGAGTGGGGGTTTTATTCACAGGAGAGGCCTTTGCTTGGCTGCTCTGCTCTTCCTCCTGTGGTGATGGGGGTGAAGTCTCAGCCGAAGGATGGGGACCTTGACAGTTTGAGTCAGGCTCCCCTTGGCCTGGGATCCTTCACCCTTCACAACCATAGCCCTGGGAACCAGACTCTGCCCAGTGGTCCCCGTGTCTCAGGGCCTCTTACCTGACTGGTTGCAGAGCGCTGCCGGGAAGCCTGGGTTTTTGATCCCTTTCTACCAGGGTGGTCTGGACCCCTGCTGAGGAAGCTGCCACCACCGGAGCCTATGAGAGCAGAACCTCAGGGGTCCAAGCTCCTCTGACCCCGAGTCTCTCCCCATCTTTGTCCTTCAGCACAACCACCCTATCCCTGTCCCTCATTCCTACCCCACTGTGGGAGGCAACGAGACCTACCCAAGTCTCGGGAGGGGCGCTTCTGACTGTCTCCACCGCTGGGTGTCCAAGAAGGCCTGGAACATATTCCCATCAGATCAGGAGGTGGGGTCAGGGAACAGCATTTCCTTTGTACCCTCCTCCTTCCCCCACCCCCACCCTGCTCCTTACTTGGTTTTGTTGGGCCCAGTAGCAGCTGTTACCAGCTTCCTGACTGTAGGGAGAGCCGATTTGGGCATCATCTTTTTTGGTTCCTTAATAGGAGCTGGGAGGGGAAAAGGGAGTGTGGCACCCATTCACTCCCTTATTCATCCATCTAACAGTTGCTGGCCCTGTCCTCTGCATGGGGGACTAGGGACAGGAGATGAACATTTGACTCTGCCTCTTCGGAACTCTGGGGAAGCCGACCACCCTTATGCCACGTGGGCATGGGAACTGTGGGAGCAACCCAAAGGGACACATAGCAGAAGACAGTTGTCAGGGAAGGCTTTGGAGGGGACAGGGTTTCATATCCTGCCAGTTTTTTTATCCATACTTTTTTTAAAAAGTAATCTCTGTGCCCAACATGTGTCTCAAACTCACAACCCCAAGACCAAGAGTTGTGCGCTCCAGGGACTGAGCCAGCCAGGCGCTTCTATCCCTACTTTTCTATCCATACTTTTCTATGACTTGTCCCCTGCTCAGTGCCAGGGCTGCCTCCCTGGTTCAGATTTCATCTTTTTCCTAGACCACAGCAATAACCTTCCCCAATCCAAACCACCCTCCCTGGAACTTCCTGGTCTTCTCTATCTCCTTCACTCCCTAAGAGATCTCACCCAGTTTTATGGGGTTAATTAGCGCCAATAAGCCAACGACTCCCATATTTTCATCTCTAGCCCCTGAACTCCAGGTTCCTATCCAACTGTCCTGTTTCCACCTGGGGAGCTAACTGGCATCACACACTTAACGTATCCAAATCTGAGCCCTCACTTCCCATCCCCCAAATCTGCCTCTTTCCAGTGTTCCCCACCTCACCCACTTACCCGCTCACGCAGATGACAAAATGAGTCATCCTTGACCTCTTTCATTCCCTTATGCTGCACATCCAAACCAGCAGTAAATCCTGATTGCTCCACCTTCAAAACAGGTCCTGAATGCAACCGCTCCTCACCAGCCCTGCCACTAAGCACTCTAGACCGAGGCACCCCCCACCTTCACCTGGACAGGGCAGCAGCCTCCGAGTGGGGCTCTGGCCACACTCCCCCTGCCCATGGCTTGTTCCCACAGCAGTCAGAGTGAGCTCGGGTTCCGCTGGGGCCGCAGACATAAGCAAAAGTAGAATATGTCGTGTGTGAGAGAGTTATTAGGTGTTACCGAGGAAGAACAAGCAGGGGAATGTCAATTTTAAATGGGGCGGTCAGAGAAGGTGCACTGAGAAGGTGACACCAGAGTGAACAGTCACAAGTGGTGACCTTTATATTTGTGGACACACGAGCAGCCCCGGCCTAGGCATGCACACGTCCTGGTTAGTCACACACGCGGTATCAGACGCGGCCATGCACACGAACCCCCTGGCCGTATGCACAGCGCACCAGAGCATAGACCCTGTAGCCCGACACCAGGCTCTGACTTCCTGCTCCACTCTGTGCCAGCCATGTGAGGACCCGGCTGTGTCACCTCACCGCCCTGTGCCCTGGGCCATGACAGTATACACCTGGTGGGGTTACTGCGAGGTCTGAGAGGACTTCACTCACGTGAGGCGCTCAGAAGAGGATGGGACATAGAGTCAAAGCTCAGAAAATGTTCACTTTGACTTCAGCTTCTAGTACTTTAGCTGATTAGGTGCTCGGTAGGGCCCTCCCCCTAGAGAGCAATTCTGTCCTCCGGAGGATACAATTTTGAGGCACTGTTGGGCCTCAAAGAAGTGGGGGAGGTCCACAAAAAAGGGAGGAACTGAGGCCAGAAGGGCAATAGGAGGGCCAACTACTGGGGCTCCGGAGCCTGGGCCTGTGATGAGGAGCCAATATCCAGGGTGCGCCCCCTGAGTCCCCCACAGGCCCAAGCGTGGTAGCTAAGCGGCAGTGCCAGCCCTGCACACCCCCTTCTTCTAGAGGGCTCTGGTGGTCTCTGGTGGTTGGTGCCCTTTGGCTCCAGGCGAAGTAGAAGCAAGTCCTCTCTGGAAGAAGGCTTCCCCTCCCGAGGCGGGAACTCCCTCAGGTTGGGATCAAGTCCTGAGCTCACACACAAAGATCACAAAACACACAAGACGGCAGGCCACTGAGAATGGGAGTCGGCAGACACGATGCACAGCAGGTACTGGAATTGCCAGAGAACACAGCTGTGCTACAGGGCATGCAACAAAAGAATCATCGGGAATAAGCAGGCAGATCTGGGGGGGTGGGGGAGGAAAACTGAGCGACTAGAGATGAAAAATAGCATTCTTGAAATAAATCAAATGCAATATAGGTTAAATAGCAGGTAAAACACAGCCAAAAAGCCAGAAAGAGAATTACTAAGCTGGAAGCACAGCGAGGCAAGGAGCAGAACATTTGAAAGCACTGGTAAAAAGAATGGATAATGAAAGGGGGTTTGGCTACGGCTGAATGACGCGGTAGACAAATCCTCACCTCGCAAGGCAACTAGAAAGCTGGACAAAACCACCATTTCTGTGCTCTGGAAGTTGACCAAAGGCATAAGATAACCCGAGAATTGTTTACGCTTGATGGCCTCCTTGGCCGCACCTGCCCCCATCCCTGCCCCTGCTCCCGCCAGCCTGGTCTATGCAGACGCTCTGCTCTGCAGCGTAGGGCCGGCTGCAAGGATTGGCAGCTTCACTGCCACGGTGGAAGAGAGGTCACTCAATTTAGGGTGTAGCCTTGGACTTGGCATTGGTTTCATAGATAGGACACCAAAAGCACAAAACAACCAAAGAGAAAATAGAGACATGAGACTTCCTTCAGATGTAAAACTTCTGTGCATTAAATAGGACACCAGTAAGAAAATGAAAAGACAGCAGGATGGGAGAAAATATTTGCAGTCTACGTCCGATAAGGGACTTTTCTCAAGATATATAAAGAACTCTAGAAGTCAATAGTCAAAAGTCAAATAACCCAATTAAAAAATAGGCAAAGGACCCAAACAGACATTTCACTGAAAGATATACAAATTGGCAATAAACCTATGAAAAGATGCTCAACATTTAAGTGGGTAGAAAAAGATGATGCGGAACCATAATGAGATACCACCCCACACTGACTAGAGTGATTATAATAAAAAAAGAGAGTAACAAATGCTGGTGAGGATGTGGAAAAAGTAGAACCATCATGCATTGCTGGTGAAAACCATGTGACAGTTCTTCCCAAAGCTACTACAGAGCAATCATAGCACCCAGAAATCCCTTTCCTACGCATACATCCAAGAGAAATGGAAACATGCCAACACAAAAACTTGCACACAAATGCTCATACCCCAAAAAGTAAAAACCCAATGTCCACCAGCAAACAGATGGATAAAATGTCGTACATACCCACGATGGAATATTGGGCAACAAAAAGGAACGAAGTACAACATATACTAGAGAATGGATGAACCTTGAAAACAAAAGGTACAACAGAAAGGTTTTTCTCTGGGTCATGAGATGGAGCCCCACATGGGGCTCCATGCTGGGCGTGGAGCCTGCTTGGGATTCTTTCTCTCCCTCTCCCTCTGCCCCTCCTTTCTTTCTCTCTCAATCTTAAAAAAAAAAAAAAAAGTTTTTTTTAAAGTATTTGAATATATTAACAACTCTGATGAGACTGAGCAAGAAAAAAAGAAAAAATAATTATTAAAAATGAATAAAAGACTAAGTGCAGATACAGACTATGAGAGAATATTATGAATAACCTTATACAAATAATTAGAAAACATTGATGAAATGTATAATTATAAATATAATTCACTATTGATGTTGGCTATGCCAACATCTTGGTTTCAGATTTCTAGCCCCCAGAACTGTGAGAGATTAAATTTCTGTTGATTTAAGCCAAACAAAACAAAGAAGAAGAAAAAGAAAAAGAATTTCAGCCAAACCTTCCCATAACTATTAAAGAAATTAAAAAAAAAAAAAAAAGGAAGAAGAAATTGAAGTCATTTAAAATCTTCCCATAATGGGGGAAAAAAAAAAAAAAACAGGGCCAGATGGATTACAGGCAAGTTTTATCAACTCTCAAGGAATGATGATTCCCATTTTTTTTTCCCCCCAAGTAAACTCTACCCCCAGTGTGGGGCTTAAGCTCACAACTGAGATCAAGAGTCATATACTCTACGGACTGAAACAGCCATGTGCCCCCACAATGATTCCCATCTTTTTAAGATCTACCAGATAATTAAAAAGCAAAATGTATACCCCTTAACTCATTTATGGGGCCAGTATAATATTCATAATCAGAGGAGGAGAGTAAAAATAAATGCAAAAATCTTAAGAAAAACTGGGAAAATATTCCAATGGTATATGAAAAGATAATAAAACCATGACCAATTTGAATTTATCCCAAGAATGCAAGGGTGGCTTAATATTAGCAAATTCTACAAATGTCAGAGAAATCATTTCAAAAGATTCATATAAACAATTTGAAAAAATTCAACACACACTCTTGATAAAAATTCTAAAACTAGAAATAGAAAGGCCCTTTCTTAATCTGACAAAAAGAGTATCTAAGAAAAGATCTAGGGGCACCTGGGCGGCTCAGTCGGTTAAGTGTCTGCCTTCAGCTCAGGTCATGATCTCAGGTTCCTGGGATGGAGCCCTGCTCAGCAGGGAGTCTGCTTCTCCCTCTCTCCGCTCATGCTCTCTCTCTCTTTCTGTCTCTCTCAAATACATAAATAAAATCTTTAAAAAAAAAAAAAGATATAAGTAAGTCTCACTGTTAAAGGAGAAAAGCTGGAAACATTCCACTTAAAATCAGGAACATGGTAATGATGTTTAACATGACAACTTCTATCAACAGTTTTGAGCCCCTAGCCACTACAGTAAAATGAGAAAATAAAATGAAAAGACATAAAAAGTGGAAAAGATAGAGCAAAATTGTCATTAGTCGCAGATGACATGACTGTCTTCATAGAAAACATATTAAGAAGCTAAAGACAGGGGCACCTGGGTGGTGCAGTCGTTTAAGCTTGGGCCCCACACTGGGTTCCATGCTCAGCATGGAGACTGCCTGAGATTCTCTCTCCCTCTCCACCTGCTCCTCCCACTTGCGCTCTCTCTCTGAAATAAATAAATAAATCTTAAATAAAAAAGGGGGGAGGCCGTGTGGGGGGGAGGGCGCGCCTGACTAGCTCGGTTGGTTAAGTGTCTGCCTTCGGCTCAGGTCATGATCCTGGAGTCCCTGAGATCCCATGTTGGACTCCCTGCTCAGAGGGGAGTCTGCTTCTCCCTGTGCGCCTCACCCTGCTCATGTTCTCCCTTGCTTTCTCTCTCTCTCTCAAATAAATAAAAAAATTTTTAAAAAGCCTCTACAGATAAATTGTTATAAATAATCAGTTTTTAGCACCATGACCGGCTATAAAATCAATATACAAAAATCAATGCATTTCTATATTCCTGAAATAAACAGAAGGATATTTTAAAAATAAAATTTTAAATTTATTTATTTATTTATTTATTTTTAAGATTTTATTTTTAAGTAATCTTTATATCCAACATGGGGCTCAAACTCACAACCCCAAGATCAAGAGTGGCATGTTCCACCAATGGAGCCTGCCAGATGCCCCTATTTAATTTTTTAAAAGACACAACAAAAAAATCTGAGGTATCTAGAGATAAATCTTACAAAAGTTGTGTAAAACTCACAAGCAGAAAGTAATACATGGTGCTGGAGCAATTCATTGCCCATATGGAAAAAAGTATAATTGGGTCACTCATTAAAAATCAATGCCACAAAGATAAAGGCACTTAAAAACAAAAGGCAACACTTTAAAAGTTTTTTTTTTTTTTAAGATTTATTTATTTATTTGAGAGAGTGAGAATGAGAGAGAGAGAGAGAGAGTACATGAGAGGGGGGAGGGTCAGAGGGAGAAGCAGGCTTCCCGCCGAGCAGGGAGCCCGATGCGGGACTCGATCCAGGGACTCCAGGATCATGACCCGAGCCGAAGGCAGTCGCTTAACCAACTGAGCCACCCAGGTGCCCCAACACTTTAAAAGTTTTAAAGAAAATATAAATGAGGGGCGCCTGGGTGGCTCAGTTGGTTAAGCGACTGCCTTCGGCTCGGGTCATGATCCTGGAGTCCCTGGATCGAGTCCCGCATCGGGCTCCCTGCTCGGCGGGAAGCCTGCTTCTCCCTCTCCCACTCCCCCTGCTTGTGTTCCCTTTCTCGCTGTGTCTCTCTCTGTCAAATAAATAAAAATAAAATCTTAAAAAAAAAAAAAAGTAAAATCTGATAAAACCAAGTGTTGAAGAGGATTTGGAATAACAGGATCTCATACACCAATGGTGGAATGGTAAAGTGTACAATCACTTGGAAAACCAAACTGACTTTATCTCATAAAAGTTGAACATTCACATACCCTACAATCTAGAATGCCACTCCTAGGATGATATCCTAGAGAAATGATGGTATCTGCACACCAGAACACAGGCAGAGAAATGTTCATGGCAGCAGTATTTGTTGTAACAAAAACTAGAAACAATGAAAATGGCTAACAACAGGAGGAGACCAGATACACACATAAACTGTGGTAAATTCCCTGCAAGGAATATTATATAGCAGAGAAAAATTAATGAACTTACATCTAGATATGACATAGATTAATCTTAGAAATATAATGTTGATTGGAAACAGCAAGTTCCAGAAGACTATAAACATGATACCATTCTTATCAAGCTCAAAAACAAGCAAAAATCAGTCAATACATTATTTAGGCACATACATAGGTAAACAAATTTAAAAACTCAAGGGAATTACAAAAACAAAATTCAGGGGCGCCTGGGTGGCTCAGTTGGTTAAGCGACTGCCTTCGCCTCAGGTCATGATCCTGGAGTCCCTGGATTGAGTCCCGCATCGGGCTCCCTGCTCAGCAAGGAGCTTGCTTCTCCCTCTGACCCTCCCCCCTCTCATGTGCTCTCTCTCTCTCATTTTCTCTGTCTCAAATAAATAAATAAAATCTTTAAAAAAAAAAATTCAGAATACTGGTTATCTTTTGGGGGGAGAGGAGGGAGCAGAATGGGAAGGAAAAGGAGCACATACATTAGCAATACTCTAGTTCTTGGTTTGGTGACAGATCATGAATGTGCACAGGTCTCCATTATTAAGTTTTAAAGCACATTAGGTACAGTTTTGGCATGTGTGAAATATTTCATTAAAAGATAAGTAAAACATCCCCACGGAACTATTCATTGACATATTTATATGACATGCAAACATACAACACAGTCTCAAAGACAGACACATTGTTCCATTGTACTGTGTACATTGTACAGACACACTGTACTTCCTTACAAAATGAAACAAATCTAAACACTTGATAGCCATATTCTCAAAACACACAAAGAAATATGAACACACACAAACAAACACATTCCTACACAATGACCCACATATATACCTACCAGGTCCTTAACCCACAGAGCGATAGCTCCTAAGGGACTATAATACTGCACCACTGGGGAGCTGTGGGTGTTTATGGCAGCTAAACTGGTGGGGCCCCAGAGAGCAAAATCCCACTCCCACCCTTCCCCCCAACCCAAATCCCAGGTTTCCTGGGCACCCACCTGATTCCCGAGACACCATTTTCCGTGGGGTCAGCTTCTTGATCTGTGAAGAAGACAGTTATCAGAATCTGAAGAGTCTCTACATTTCTAGATCCACCATCATTTAGGGGTAGCCTAAATGTCCACTGAGCACCACCACCCCCAACTTTGTCCAGAGTAGCCTGCCTGCCCCCCACCCCCAACCTGAATGCCTGGCTCCATACTCACTGGGGGTGGGGGGAGCACAAAGTTGTCGGGGAAAACTCCTCTTCTGCCTTGAGACTCTCCTTCCCACCAGCCCTTATCCTCTGTGGTCTAGGAGAACAAGATACCATGGGGAGGTGAGCCAGATCCCCAAGCTCCTTCCTTTCCAGGTCCCATGGCTTCTCAACGTGCCCTTTCTGGTCACCTCCCCTGCCCTGTGCTTTCATACCTTCCTCAGTACTTTCACCTCGTCCCCCCTCCGCAGCGCCAACTCATCCGGGGCCTCAGGCTGGTAGTCGAACAGGACCCTGTAGATCTCAGGGCGAGAGACTATAGCGGGGGTCAGTCCATCAAAGCCAACTCCTCTCCCCAGGTCAGGCGCTCCCTCCCCCATCAGCTTCGTTGAGTGTCCCCCTTCCCCAAGTCAGCTAGGCTCGCAGGAGAGGGTTCTGAGGAACCCTTTGGCTGGGTGCTCACCTGTCCGCAGGTAGTCTGGAGGGCTGTCATAGGTCAGACTGCTCAGCTAGTGGGGGGAAGGGGGAGGGAGGAACAAGCTGAGTCTCCACCCCTCCAAGAGGAACTCACCATGTCTGTGCCCACCGCACCCAATTTACCTTGGGAGGCCGCTGGGTACCAGGGCTGACTGAAGGCATGTCTGGGTTCCCGAGGCCTGGTGGGGACAGTGAAGTTAGGGGTTGTGCTAATTCAGTTTAGATCATGGGGGAGGTCAAAGGGGTCACAGGGTCAGGATGTGTGGATCACAGGCTCAGGCCACTGGGTGGGTCACTGGAAATTGCAGTCTGGTCACAGGGGTTCATGGGGTCACAGGGTGCAGGTCTCACTTGGGGGCCCACTGTCCAGCAACTCCACAAAGTTGGATGGGAAGGCTCCCAGCTGCCCGTTCTTCTTCCCCAGCCACCAGCCGTCCTCAATCTGGGGAGGAGGAGGACGCAAGGCCATCTGGTTCTGCCCCAAAGGTCTCTCGAGAATTCTTCCACCCATATTTCTGCCCGGATTCTGCCCGATGCCCCCTCCTCCCTTGCTCTCTCTCTTTCCCATTTCTGCGCCCCTCACCAGCCCCAACGCCCACACCCTCTCTTCACACATCCGTCACCCACGGACTTGCTCCGACATCTCCGCCCAAAGCCTCTCATCACTTCGTCCCCTCACCTCCTTTATCACTTCCACAATCTCCCCAGCTTGCAGCTTCAGCTCGTCCGCCTGCTCCGGACTGTAGTTGAAGTTCACCTTGCACCATCTTTGGGGGCCCCGAGATTTGGCGGGGCGACCTGGGGTTAGACGAGAGAGAGAAAGGCCGCTGGAGCCGCGCGCCCCAGTCCGCTGAGCTGGGAGAGGGGTGGGCCGGGAGCGCCCCAGCAGGAGCTCCAGGCCACGCCCCAAGGCGGAGCATTGTACCCAAGAACCAATCACAAACCGCGGAGTGCCCGCGCGGCCCCGCCCAGAGCCGCGCCGGTCACGGCCTGCCTGGGGTGGCCGGAGCCGCGCAGACTCCGCGCGTGCACCCACCCGGCCTGGCGCTCACCTCGGCGGCGCGCACAGCGCGGGCTCGGCGCCTCTCCGGCGCCGCGCAGAGACTCCGGGATCTCCTGGAAATGAACGCAAGGAGATTTGCGCGGGGAGGCGGCTCTCAACTCCTGGGGGCACGCATTGAGACCCTCCTCCACCCGACCTGCGGCCCGGTCTTACCTGCACCAAGCGCTCGGGAAAGAGACCACAACGACCCCCCAGCTCTCCGCGCAGCCAGCCCCGTGAGGGCCCCTCGCACACCTGCCGGACCACGTACCCGGGCGCCAGACTCAGCTCGCCCTCCTTCTGCGCGCGGTACTCGGCCAGGACCAGCACCTCTGCGGGCGGAGGACGGGACGGGGGCGCAGCTCAGAGGGACCGGTCCGGGCACACTGGCTTAGGCGCGAGTCCCTGGCTCCGCGTAAAGGACAGCGGGAGAGCGGGTTGGTGGTGTAGGCTTCTGTTGCCTTTTCCGTCACCCCAAACCCTCTGCACATACCCATAGCTTCCAGGTCTCGCTCCAGAGCCGGGCTGGGAATACAGTGCTGTCCCGCAGGCAGCCGAGTACTGGGCCCGAGTAGGGTGGGACGAGCTGCGAGGTTGTGAAGCAAAGGAGGCGGAGACGCTAGCGGATAGGTCGGCCCCAGGTGCTGGGAGTGGGTGTGAGAGAGAGGGTGGCCCGGCTCAGCAGGTTTGGCCCCCAACCCTGGGATGAAGACTCCAGGGTCTCTGGCCAGTGCTGGGGCCACAGCTCCCCCACATGCTCTTCCTGGCCTAGTCACTTGAATTCCAGTCTAGCCGTCTCTCCTCCTCGCAGCCTTAGGCTCTGAGGTTCCCACCCATCGTTGGCACAAAGCCTTTCCTGGTCTATCTTCTCCCCGCTGGCAAGCTTGGAGCTACGGGAGAAGAGGTGGGAGAGGCGCATACCAGGGTGGGGCCCCCAGCAGGCAGCGACTGCTCCGAGGCAGGCCCTGGGTGGAGGGGGCGGCTGCTCTTGGGCGCACACAGCTACTGCTGTGCTCTGCTTTTCCTGCAAGGCACCATCTCCCTATAACCCCACCCCAGGTCACAGGAGGAGTGCAGAGACCCCTGCTTCCGGTCACCGGGCTGTTTGGTTTCATAAAACACATCCAGATTCTCCTTGGGAAAGGGCAAGAAAAAAGGAACTTTAGGAGCTTTCAAGGCTCCTGCTCACAGCCAAGGCCAGGGCCGGCAAGGCCTTAAGTTTAGGACCCATCTGGTGCCAGCCCCACCCTGACTGGACTCTCTGGTAATCTTTCTGCTCAGTGGTGAACACAGAAAGCTGAGCCTGTTATCCACGACACTTGACCTCTGTCCCACCACTTTGGAAGCCAAGTCCTTGCCCATAAAAACCACAGTGAAAGAATCTGGTTCTCTTAGGATGTCCAAGGTACAGGATGAAGTAAAACCATCAGGGTGGCAATGAGTTATTAGCCAGCAAAGGGTGGCCCGGTCTCCTCCCAAACAATTGAGCATGGCACTGATAAGGATGGGACTAAGCAACAGGCTTTCGGTGAAAGCCCTGACAGTTTTGTCTTTCAGGTTTCTTGAAGCTGCTACAGTAGATACCTCCCCCCCAAACACACGCACGCACACACACACGCACACATACACACAACTAAGGGTGACAATGACCAGAGTCCATTTACATCTGCCTTCTTCATTTATTTATTTATTTGCAGGAGGAGTTGAAACAAATTTTAAGGGTGTTTCCATTTTTTTCCCCCTAAACATGAATCATTCAAGTAAAACCAACTTAACTATAGAAATGTAGCAAAGTAAGGGGAAAGAAGCACAACAACCCAAGAGGCAAAGGTTGGGGAAGGGGGGGGAGAAGAGGTGGGTGCAGTCCGCATATAACATATGCATAAATGCCATATGATTCACCTGCTCAGGACCGCCTCCCCAGAAGGCAAGCACAAGGACCCATTTTAAGAGGATGTTTTCCCCCCAAACATCCAAGAATGTTTCAACTTAAAGCTTAAGGTTAAAAAAAAAAAAAAACGAAAAGAAAAAACAAACCCCCACAAACCACCCAGCCATAACCACCTTCCTTAATCGATCATAGGAGTTTCTTTTCATTTTATAAAAAGATTAATAAAAAATATTGAAAAAATTATTTTCTCATCTTATATTTGTAAAGATAATAGAATTCAGAAGTTTCTTAGAAAACAGACCAGAAACTGCCATCCAGTTTCCACCCCTGTTGCTGAGAGGATCAGCAGGACTACAAAGTTTGGGATACTGGAGCTGCTGGTGGAGAATGGGATGCCCAGCCCAGAAGAAATCAGAAAATATTGGGGTGGGGGGGCATGTGGGGTGTGGTCAGCAGCCACGGGATACATGGCTGTGCAGAAAAGGGGAACACAAGGTGGTCAGAAAGGCCTTGAACTCCTCCTCGACATACAAAACCGATTTTTACAAAGATCCAAGCAGTTTGGTCCCAAACTGAGGTGAACACTTCAATGTTTATTCACATGCTTTGTTTTCTCTTTGAAGAATCAAAGTTGCCCAAATTAAATCTTTCTGCTATTATTACTACATATGCCTAAAAAAAAAAAAAGAAAAGAAAGAAGGGCTTTTAAAATCAGGATAAGGGAGAAGAGATTGAAAATCATCAAATTAGTCCTCTTAGCTCCAAATGAAAGTAAGAACAAAACTGTTGGTTTCTAATAGGGAACAAAGCAAAATCCAAGTATCGCTCTCCCCTCCCTACCCCAGCCCCCACCCCACACACCAACAACAAATGAGAAACACAGCTAAAGCCCAATGTGTTGTGTTCTGCTCAAGAGCTGGGCCTGACCCCAGGCTCCTCGGCCGGCCGCCTCTGTCCAGTGGGACGCAGCGCCAGGGATGCTTTCGGCTGTAGTAGGATTCTGTGCGGCTGGCTGGTGGGGGGCAGGGGTGGGATTTTTGCAATCTTGAGGCTCCTCTGTTTTGCTCCTCACCAGCCATCTTCCCAGCGCCCTCTCTCCCCTGGGCAGGGACTCCCATCAGAGTGGCCCCTACTCAGTTGTGGGCTGTAAATTGTCCTTCTCTTCTCGGTTCTCTGTCCCACTCTCGTCGTCTTCAATTTCCCCTTCCTCCCCACTAAACTTGTCGTGGGCCCATTTGGGGCTGGTGCTGGACTTCCGGAACATGAACCGGCCTCGACCCCGGGGGAAGGCTCCTCGGCCCCGGCCCCGGCTCACCCACTTCTCACTGCCTTCACCTTCACGGTCATCATGCTGAGAGAAAAGAAAACGGCCATCAATCCCAGAGTGAACAAGAGTAGCCAAAGCCCTCTTTTCATCCAAATGTGACTTTCCCAAACCAGCCTTTTGCCCCACCCCACCTTCTGTTCCTTTTCTGTCCTCCTCCCGATCCCCCCTACTCCCAAAAATGCTACTGATTCAGATCCAAGAGAATATTCCATTGGGTGCCTTAGGAATTCTGAGGCAGTAGCCTGGGCATTACAATGATGATGAAACCTTCACTGAGCCCTGAAAGACCTTCACCTGCATTATCTCATTTAATCCTGACCTCTACCCTCTATCATCATCATCACCCTCCACTCTGCATCCCAATCCTGCTCTGATGATCACATGAGAGAGAAGGGCTCCAATGAGAGACGGAGTGAGAATGCACTTTGAAAACTAGAAGTTGTTGTTACCTCATCAGCACCATGGCTTCAAAAACTCTAAACCATCCCAAGTAGGACCTCAGGCTCCGGGGATCAACTCAGCGAGAGGCCCAGCTGCTTCCTGCCAGGGCTGCTCGTTCAACAGCCTCAACGCAGGAGGCCAACAATGCTCCGAACCTCAGGTGGCAGATGGGCACAGGGAGAAGGACTCAGATGGCCTTTACCTTCCCCCCGTAGCAGTGCCACTCCAGCACCTATCCTGGGCCCTGCCAACTTTTCCCTAAGATGCAGGTGTGCAAGGGCCCCCTAGGAGGCTCAGAGCAGCTCCCAGCTTCCCCAGAAAAGCGAAGGTAGCTGTGCAGTCGTCTACAAAACCTGAGTCCCAGCCGTGCAGCTGACGGTACAGACCCGTGCCAGCCCTTCTCGGGGGTGATGGGAGTCTCAGTTTCAAGTTTACCTTGGTTACAACACCCAGAGTCCCATCTGCTTGGACCTGAGGAGCCCCAACCTCACGTGAGGGAGGGAGGGAAGGAGGGAGACCCAGAAAGTGCCTGCTACCTAGGAGTGACCAACAGCTCAGACGAGAGAAGCCCCAGTGACTCATTCTGGAGACAGAGCCCCTCCCTCAAAGAGATCCTGAGCTGTCTTTTCTATCTTGCACTAGGGAGTGACAGAGTGAACTGCGGACTCAGGGGAGGGCCATGACTCCATCCCTGGATGAAGGCTGGACGGCGGCTGAGGGGGGATTAGCTATCAGACAAGCTCACAGACTCAAAAGGCCAGAGCAACCTTTCTCGCGCATCCTGGATTCATACAGCTCTGAGGCCAGGATACTGCCTTGCAGGAGAACATTCCTCTGGCCAGCACCACGCGGGCCCACAAGTACACAGCCCCCCAGCACAGTCCGCCTGCACACACATTTAATCACAGCTCGGGACAGACCAATGAAGTGTTGGTATCAGCCACGCTGTGTGCCAGAGGCGCTCTGGCCCTTCCTGGTTATCCCAGACACATACCAGGTAATACTTCTTGCTTTTGGGCGTGTACTCGGGGTCCCACTCCTCCTCCCGGTTTCTCTTTTGAAAATCATTGTTGCTGTTGTTGTTGTTGTTACCAGAGTAGGAGCCTCTGCCCCAGCCTCTCCCTCTGGCTCGAAATTGCTGTGGCATAAATGGGGAAAAGGAACAAAGGACTGAGTCAGGAGTGGAGAAAAACCACTCCCTGTCTTCGGCTCAAATACTTTTCTGGCTCAGAACAGACAGCGGTCCTCTAGTCAATCTGCTGGTCAACTTGGTTCCAGCCGTTCCCTTTCTTTTTTTTTTTTTTTTTTAAAGATTTTTTATTTATTTGAGAGAGAGAGAATGAGAGAGAGCACATGAGAGAGGGGAGGGTCAGAGGGAGAAGCAGACTCCCTGCCGAGCAGGGAGCCCGATGCGGGACTCGATCCCGGGACTCCAGGATCATTACCTGAGCCGAAGGCAGTCGCTTAACCAACTGAGCCACCCAGGCGCCCTAGCCGTTCCCTTTCTGCTCCAGTCTGTAGCCCAAGCAGAGGGACACATGGCACAAGGCCCTCCCTACAGACGCAGCAGCAGTCAAGCTAAGGGGGGAAATTCGGAGGTCAGAAGCCCCGAGAGGCTTTCTAGGTAAGTGATTATGAACAGAAAAATAACTAAAACCAGAAAGCTTGGGGAAGAGGGGTACAGATTCTGGGATGTAGAGCCTGGATTACTTGCAGCAAGGGCAACAAAACTAGTATTCTGGTAATCACATAACTAGAGTTGGGAGGAGCAGGGAGAGGGGGCAGGATCTTACGAAGGTCCCTCGAGCTCTGCCGCCTCTTTCACTTGGACCCACGAAGTCTTTGGTCCCTAGTCTTGACTTGTCAAAGCCCGTGGTGCTCTCTTCCCTCTCCTCCGTCTCTTCAGTGTACTCTTCCGCTTTATAGGAGTGGGATGACTGGGAGGAAGAGGAGGAGGACCTGGACCGATCTCGTGCTCTCCGGTGCTTCCTATGGAAACAGAAAAGCCAGGGATTTAAATCACTCGGCCCTAGAGGACAGCCCTTGTCTGGGACCTCACTGGTAAGGTGCACAGGACAATCAGGAACATATCTGTGGTAAGAAGACACTGAAGATGGGTAACCTCAAAACTCGCCCCCACCTTACCCACCCAGGTACCCAGAGAGCTCCCTCTCAATTCTGTGAATCATGTTCAGTGACACATCTATGTCTTAGCCTGTGATAAACATTGGACATGCATAGCAAGAGGAAGAGAACATGGCCCTGTATAATACACATGCACGAACTAGAAAGGCAGAAGGAAGCGAACACTGTACTGGGAGCCATGATGTACTGGGTACGGGGACAGGGGCTTTATATAATACCATTTGTTTTATGCTTTACATTACTTTTATTTCTCATAGGAAGAACATGATCTGCCTAATGGGTCTGTTCTAAAGACTGAACCAACAACATGCTTAAACACTTTACAGTGACAGAGCAAGCATCCAGTAAATGGCAACCCTGATTATTCAGTAGTATTTCCCCATTTTATAGACAGAGGAGATTCAGGGTGAGAGAGCTGGGAAGAACCCGGGCTCAAACCTAGCTCTAATTATACCACGACTCCACATAGCACCTCTCACTGAGCTCAAACAGGGTGAGTTATTAAGCACAGGATCTAGCAAAACTCTTCCCAGAGTGATTTCCCGCCCTTCCCTTCATCTGAGAGAAATTACAGACTAGAGCAAATGAGCGTACTACAATGAGTCACTGTCTATGTACCAGATGTGGGTGCTGGCCCAGCCATGTGTGAATGGAGCTTACTGGCGGCCTGTAAGGTGGTAGAAAGGCCAGGCTCCCAGGAGTAGAGGACGACTTACGGGGAGAAAGCGGCCAAGTGCCAGGAACCTCTCGCTGTCCACCTCCATTATGCAAAGTATCCTGCCCCCTCTCCCACCACATTCCCCGACATTTAAGAAGCTCAAGAACTTAAATATTTAAATCCTAGCGGCTCTTTCTAGCATTTACTCCATAAACAGTAAAAGTCTAAGTTACTGTCATAGGATTTTTATAACTCAGATGTGTAACTCTAGACTCCTTTAAGTCAGTGCTATTTCAAAAGGTTTTAAAAAATAAGGCCCCAGATTTGAGTCCCAGCACCACCTTTTATTACTTGTGTGACCTTGGGTGAGCTGTCCTTCAGTCCTATGAGAAACAGTTCTTGTGAACTGAGGTGTGATGTAGAATGAGAACAACCATCTTGCTTCTTGCCCCAGTCACAGAATACTAGGATTTCAAAGGTCACACAGCAAGACAGAGCAAGAGGGAGGTGCTCCAGGGAAAGCAATCAGGATCCCAACCCAAACCCAACCCTGAAACATTTGAGGGGCTCTACGTCCTCTCCCCCAGGAGCAGCATCAAGGACTGCTGAACCACCACTTCCACTCTCTGCTGAGGATGATCAGGTCCCTTACCAACAGGCAGCTTCCAGGGCTCCCCAGGCACAAGTAACAAGGTGGAGTGGGAGACAAAGTAGAACACAACATCTGGGTTTTGATGTCAGCTGACAATTGTGGCATCTTAGACAAATCATTATGAGCTTATCTTATCTTTCAAAATGGGTACCACACCAAGTGTCCAACTTATCTCAAAGGACTGTTGTTATCAGAAAATGGATATGAAAATGCTTGCCGGCTAAAGTTCACTAACAGCAAAAGTGGTATTGCTTCATATGGGAAAGTGTAGGACTTCAACTCTTCTATGTTTAATGAGACATGATTGAAAAGTCATGGGACTTTCACAGATGTAAATAGAAACGACAGGACCTCGTCATGAATGCTGCCCTATGAAGTTCAACAATGCTACCTTTGTTTAAAGAGTATTTGGAACACCTCACTTGGAAGTGTCTGCGTAACTAGTTCTTAAAAGGCATTTAAGATCAACAATCTTGTCCTATCTAGTTTCACTCTTATTTCTTTGACAAAACAATGTCATTAACCAGCCAACAACTTTGAGCCATTTCTAAAACATAACCTCCCCGTGAAGATTTGTGATGAAAAAGAACGTATCAAAGAAAATATCCAACACAACCCAAAAGGAATTCCCAAGTGATTTTCCACTCTGTCCCTAAAGCCAAATTAAATGCCCGTCTCCCAGGAGGCCTTCTTTGGACAAGGATCACACCTACTTTGATGCAGAAGTTCTGTTTTCAGCCAGGGACCTTACTTGACAGTTACATGGTATAAAAGAAGAAACTGCTATCATTCCTAACCCTGAACTTCTCTGGCCTAGAAGGTCTGGTATACAGCCCAGAAGGAGCAGACAAGACACCCCACTCAGGAGTCTGAAGGAGGTAACAGGGGCTTACGTACTTCTGCTTCTTTGATCCTTTATGAGTTTTCTCTGTTTTCTCAGCTGATCTTTCCCTCGAGTGGCTTGAGTCTCTGGAATCCACTGATTCTCTTGATTTACCTCGTTTAAGATCTCTCTCCTTATGTTTTTTACGACGTTCAATATCAAGGCGGAGATCAACAGGATCATCTTTGTATTTTCCCTCAGCCTGCAAAAAGAGAAATCAAAATTAAGGTTTTTGGGATTCGGGGCTGTCAACTCAACCACCCCACAAACTGTGGTTTCTACTCCAATGGAGTGGTGCAGAGGAAGCACTGGGAGTGTGAGGCACCTCACCCAAGCTTGGAGGGATACAGGATGTCCCCACAGAAGTCCCTTCCTGAGGGTCCCTCACAGAACCCAAACCAGTTCTCTAAGATGACGACGACTGCCTTCTGAAAATGCTAGACATTGATCTCCTTGTTTGTTTCCTCTGTGGCCCAGTAATAACTCTGGCTCAGTAATAACTCTGGCTAGCTTACACACTGAGTGGGCCAAAATCAGCATTCGAAGGTGTCCGGTTAGGCTGGCTCAGGCCTAGTCACCACCAAGCGTGGCAACGTTGGGTGTCGTGTCATCCTTTCCTACCTACACTGTGGCAGCCACCGTGGGTTCATCCTCTCCTTGGAATAAGCTCTGAGTGCGGAACCCAACAACAGGACTGTGGGACCCCAGCAGCCTTCCAAAACGCTTAGTTACAGTGAGCAATTGCTTTAGAGAAGGAATATCAAAAACCACAATGGAGAATTCACAAAGTGGCAATACCAGGTCAACATTTAGTTTAAAAAGGGAAAAAGCAGCAGCAAAAAAGGAAAGCAAACTCTTTCTTTGCTGACTTCCTTATTAAGTCGAACCCCTCAGGGCATGTGTGTGGCAGAGCAGCGGCGCTGTGTGCCCCAAACCAGGGCAAGGGCTTTCGACAGCTCTGGGGACACTCAGAGCACAGGGGGCCAGGCGGATTCAGGGACGTTAAGCACTAGGACTTGCCTCATGGGAAGTAAAACCTCTCTAAAAGAGGAAGGAATGGGCAGTTCACTCCATATTAACATCTCACACAAACTACTAAACTTTTTGTTGAAATCAAGTTTAAGGAGATTTATTTTTATCCTGTTCATTTTTGAGAGGGAATGGGGCCTCTGTACCCTCCAAACACCCAAAAAGGCAGCTGCTGCTCCCTGAGGCCGTGCACCCACAGCACCTCTATGGAGTGGGCCTGAGAGGCCTAAAGGGCGCGCGCTCGTCTGCTGTCTCAAAGCCTTTCACAGGGTCAGTGCCAAGCTGGTGGGTACAGGGAGAAAAACAAAAGGGGGCTGGGAGAGGAGAGAGACTGTACAGAGGGCCTCTCGTCACATTTGACTATTGAGACAAGTTTGTTCGGAAGAATGGAAGATGAGTATCTTTTGAAAAGGTTTCAGCAGCACTGGAAGAGCCATCTTTAATTTTAAATTTCAACTGTATATGTGAATGAAGGTCCATAAATACTAAGAGACTTAAAAAAAACCCAAATGTATTATTTCATAGTAAAAGACTGCATACAAGCTTTAACCTCTTCATAACTCTGTTTGCGTGCACATCATTGCAAATGTAGCTGGGCTATCAAAATAATGTTTAGCTTTAAAGTAACAGTAACTGACAGATGATAAATACGGTACAATGTTAGAAAAAAAACTGGACTAGCTGTTTAAAACAGTCTACCATGTTAAGATATGAATATTTCACTCTCCTCTGACATGCATGTCTTTTTGAAATCATGGTTGGAAATAGTGCATGTAATATAGTTGATTTGATAATACTTACAAGCAGAAAAATATCACAAAAAGTTTCTTCTCTCATCATGGGCACTTGTTCCAAAACTCCTCTCTTTTTTTTCTCAAGCTCACCTCAATAGACTTTGGGGTCATTTACCATATTCTAACCACTTCACAAAGGTTGTTGATACATTTAATAAAAATTAACCCTTTGTAGTTCATTTTTAGAATTATGCCCATCCTTAAAAGAAAAACACAAACTTAAGTAGAGAGTAATTTAAACAAACACATTTCTGTCAAGTTCATGCCCAACGCACTCATTTTGTTGGAATTACGATCAAAGCAACAGTTCACCTTGTAGCCAGGTTCCCGTGGACTTTTCATTTCATCATGAGCCAAACCATGTTTTCTGAATGTACTGGGAGAAATGTCTATCCTCCTAAAAATTGAAAACAGAAAAATTGTTTAATATCCCCATAATGTGAATATACTACTGGTAATATTTTAGTTCCTCAGCTAAGTAACAGAATCCTTTTAATGATGTTTCTTAACTTACATATATATGTTACTTACATTCTTTGCCTATGTATTTATACTCTCCCATAGGTAGGTGTGCGTGTGCGCATGCGCACACGCGCACACATCCCAACCTCTCCATCTCAAACCGAACTTCTTATTCCTTCCCAGTACTGTTACAGCCAGGAAGGAAGGTTCACCTACACCCACGCCTATAACCTCAAGTTCATATCAAGACGATCCATGCCCTGCTAACCTCAAAGAGCAGATCTCGTCTTGGGAATAAGAATATAATAGCCCATTATTTACCTATGACATTAGGTCTAGGTGAGAAAACCAGCTGGCATATGCACACATCCCAAAGACCCCAGACCCAAGACTGTTGGAGAAACATGGTTCTCTTCCCTGCTGCAACAGAGCTGACTAGTAAGAAATTAAAGCTGCACTCAAGTTTGTTTCTAGACAAAGCCCCTACTTACTGAATATGCTCCCACAACGAATGTGACAGTCTTTAAACCTGCTGGGCTTTTAAACCCTTTGACATAATCGTACAAGCTCTGCCACCCACTGGAAATTCTTCCAGAAGAACTGCTCCACGGAACACATGCATTCCATGTATCAGTTTTGCATTCCATATATCAGTTTTGGAAAAAAACTTAACATTTACTCCACCTGTGAAAAGTTCACAGTGGTCTCAGGTTACCATCTGCCAGCTCCCAAGAATATAAGGATTCATCTGTATCAAAAGGCTGGTCTTCCTCAGGCCCAAAGTGAGAAACTGTAGTCATAAAGGCATGCCCTTTCCACTCAAACTACAAACGCCTACTGCTATCCTAGCGTCTGGAGAACGTTTACCCTAAACTCTGCTGCTAAGGCACCCACCTAACGTTGACAAGAACAAGACGAGTTTATTATCTGATGAGCAAGCTTTTATGGCCACCTCCAGTGTAAGGCCAAAGTCCTCACCTGTGTATCTCTGGGCTTTTCTTGTTTTTAGCTGCCTCCTGCTCAGTTCCTCTCTTTAGGTATTTAGTAAAGCGCTCATGCAATGTCATTCCTGAGGACCCAAAGTGATGCTCTGTGGGAATTCAAAGAAAAACACATTATGATCCCAAAGGCAGACACAATATTCAACTCTTCCGCATGAACCTGCAGCCACAAAGATGTGACTCAAGTAGTCAAATCCATGTAACAGACACACTGAAAAGAGGAAGGAAAAACAGCTGGCTCAGACACAATCCAGTGTTGGGCACTGGATTTCCACAGTCACTCCCTTGTCTTAGGATGTGGATATGCGGAAACCTAGAGCTCACTTCTCTGTGAATCACAGCACCAACTCCCACTGCAGTTTAAGTTTTAGGCAGAATCTGTATCTGGCCCAACCCAGCTGCTGTATCACTTCTCTCTACCACTCCCCAACCTGCACACCTGTCTGCCCAGGATATGGTAGAATAACGTGGAGAAGAAATTCACACCACAAGGTCTCTGAGAGACCTCTAGCGGCTTCCATCTGCTAGACAGGAAAAATGAGGTGCTGGAAAAGCCATTTTTCATACTTCTTTGAGCATTTTAAACCTTACGTGAAGGATATTACCTATTCTCACGATCACAGGTTACTAGCACTTAGTCTTCAACTCTGTAATTAAAAAATGGAAACTCCTCCTTGGAAGGAATTTCCTTCAAGGAGTCCCTAGCTTCAAAGGCCCTTTTGATGAGATAAAGGGCCCCGAAAGGCTCCCTTATGCACCCACTCATCCTGCTTGTAGCGGAGGAAGCGAAGCACGCAGAAAGGGAGCCCGCAGCAGGCTGGGGTCTGCACTCACCTTTCACATGGTGAACAATGGTCACTATATGCTGGGCAAACAGTTCAGAGGGGCTCCGCTGAGACTGAGCTGACTGTATGTGCTGGAAAATGGAACGGAATTCCTGTTCCTTTTTGTTGCTATGGACTAGATCCCGACAAAGCTTGCGTTCCTGAGCCAATAAGCCACTGGGTCTGGAAAGGAAACACAGGAAGGCCCAGTGTAACAAGATATACAGAAAGTCAAAACATTTAAACCCTAAGAAGGCAATGCTTTTTTCAAAACCCAAGAGTTTTAAATTTATCCACAAAGTTGCTTTTTGCTTCCCACCCAAGTTCAAAGTAACCTCAATGGACCATAATGACGGATAGGGGCATCCAAAATCTCTCTCCCCCTTTTCTCACTGGGAGTCCTTAATAGGAACAAATGGGCAGGGTGAAGTACTGACCCTCAGTGACTCTGTTTTCGGAGTCACTGCAGTTTTAACACACACACAACAAATGAAAAGTATTTTAAAAGATCAACTAGGTTGGCCAGCCAGGACCACTCAGTGAAGTGGGAGGTGGCTGGAATGCTGCTCAGGTGGACTTCCCACTGGCAGTGCGGTTTTTACCCCAGGTACAAAACACAGCCTGGGCCTCGCCACTCTCCTCAAGTTTGGCCACGCACCCCTCCCACCAGCCCCAACTTTAAAATTGCTACATTAGTTGATGGGTGTCTGTAATAACAGACTTTGGTAACCTAGCTAAGAATGGAAAAGTGGATTCTGGATGGCTCCACAGACAAAATCATCTTAAGCACATTTAAGGGAAAAGATGGGATGATAGGGGATAGGGGGTGGGGTAATGGATAGAGGTCAAGATGAGAGGAGACCCAACACCCAGAAAACCAGTCACTGAAGACTGAAAGATGCTTTACCACCCCTGTGATACTGCCCCCAACATATAACTGCTCAGCGACACACTCTTCTCCACTGAAAACAGGTGGACGTATCAGCACTGAAACTTGGACAGCAGGGGAAATACACGAGGGGCCTGTCCTGGTTCCCGAACAACCTCAGGGGGAGGGGTTAGGAGATGCCCCTTAGACCACTAAAGCCCTGAAGTTCAAGGACTACATCTCACCTTGCAAGGTCCTCATCAAAAGAGTCCATCCGGACATTGACCTGGGCCTCTCGGGTAATGGAAAAGGAAGACTTCCCTGTGGAAAAGTCTCCTTTGGCTCCTAGCTTCTCTCGGCTCTCCGAGGTCTTCCTCGGGGGAGGTGATGAGCTTTTCTCTTGGACTGCTTTGTAAGCGGTCACTCGGAAATTCTTTTCAGGCACAAACCCCCTGTGCCCACTTTCGGTTCTCTTGGACCCTCCCCGATCCTCCTTCTTGGATCTCTCTGAGAAAGATTCCTCCTCCAGCTCCTCTGTTTTCCTCTGCTTTTCCTTCCCTGGAGGTGCATAAACCAGGCCCTCCCATTTGCCTGACTTCTCCTCCTCCTGGTTTTTGTTTGCACCTGCTAGGGCTTTTGACATAAATTTGGGTTCATCATCAAACTCCGATTCCTTCCTTCCCTTAGCTTTGTCCTTATCTTGATCATCCATGTCCTCCTTATGGAAGTCAGCCATCTTCTTCTCAAAGTCATCTCGAAGCTTATACCTTTTGGGAGACTGGCTACCCCGAAAAGACTTCTCGGTATCAGTTTTGGGAGCAAACGGATCAGATTTCATTTTTGCATCACCCAAGCCTGTGTCAGAGAAGCTCCCTTTCTCTTTCATTTTCTCTTTATCGGTATTTGTTTGTTTCTGTTCCTTATCTTTTCCATTCTCTGTCTTCTGCTCATCTAGGTACCTAGTTATAAAAACACAAGGGAGACACAAAAGAGGCCCTTTAAGCAACCTGATCTAAAACAGCACCATCTGGTCTTGTGTTTTTGATTCTTTGAACAAACATGTCTTGTGGATTCCAGTGTTACCAAAGACTTTCTACTTGGTTACTTTCTTATAGTAATTTCTGAAAAGTGGCCTTTCACAGATCTATGAACTTGGATGCCATTTAAGCGAAAAATACCCGGTCCATGGAGTTGTGTCTTACAAGAGCAATCAAAAAGAAAACAGCAAAAGTAATTTTTAGGATACTAAAAACAAAACCTACTTACCTGTAAGTGGTCTAGGAAAAAAAAAATTAAGGTCTTATCCAACCTTCACTCAGTCATTTAAAATCTGCTTTCAGCAAAGTTAACATAGAATGTTCAACCTTGGACTGTTTTGCTTTTATACAACTCACATTTGGAAATACAAGTCTCAAAAGAGACTTCATGTTTGCTTCAAGTCACCTAGGAGATCTAAATATGAAATATACTGTGAACACAAATAAAAACAAAATACAAGTTAATTGGGGGAAGGGGGCAGAAACCATCCTACTCGTTCTTATGGAAAAGCAGAGCTCGTGCCCGAGTCTCCTAATGAGACTCCCAGTCCTGGCAAGGAACCACACTTAACTTTAAAGCAGAGTCACTGAAGGCTGTAAAGTTTGTACCATTAATGAAGAAAATCTAATCAAGTTATAGTGGCATTACTATGGCAAAGATGACTCAAAGGACAGCAGGGCATCAAAGAATATGCTAATAAGAAAGGGGACATGGTGGGGAGAGGTGGAACCACCTGCCCAGTAAGTCCCTCTTGACAACCTGGTCCCAATACAACTTCCCTATTACTTACTCTGGCATCCCAATCCATCCAACCACACAAACAAAGATTCAGGTTCCAACTCACCATGTCCCCCAGAGCAGAAAGACAGAAGCACGGTCACGTCCTCTCCTAACATGCAGCCTGGTTGGCTTCTACTGGGACACACACCCACCTTGTGATTTTAAAAAGGGCTTCCTGGACTAAGCCTCAGGCTTTCCCATCTGCCCAGTCTCCTCAACTGGAGCGTGTGAGGATACGAGGTGTAGCTCTTCACCATGATGGGCTGATGCAGACTGATCACAGTAGATGGTGGGTCCTACAGAGTCTAACAGCTCCAATGGCCATTCATTTTGGCAAAGACCTTATTTTTTTGATAGCTGACCCACAAATCTCTACTGTTCTCTAGCTTACATTGGTAGAATCCAAGGCAAATTTTAAATGTGAAAACATCATTGCAGAGCAGTCTAAAGCAACTTTATGCTGCAATACAAATTCAGAAAGGTAGGAAAGCTAGAGTTAAGCTAAAGGTTTCCTTGGGTGGTGCTTTTCAAATTTGCTAACGCAAAGTTTAGGAAACAGGGATTACCTTATTACCACCAATAAGAGCTCTGAGATCACATTACAATTAAACTGCCAGCTGGTGAGTTAAAAACACCCAGGGAGGGGAAACAAGATACTTGCCTCTTTGTATAGGCTGCTCCTCCTGGGGTAGCAGCCTCCTCCTTCTGAGATGAGCTATACGTGGAGCCAGTGGCCGGTGGACTCTTACCCACAGGGCTCTTTTTGGATGGACTCAAGGACCCAGAGCCATGATCGAATGGACCTTGGTGTGTCCCAGCCTGGTACCCAGCACCACTCGGCAGAGTTGAGCCCATCTGGGATGTGCTGGAAAGTGGAGGGCTAGGTTTTGGCACAGGGCTAGGACGGGGTGAGCGCCGCCTCACCACCACAGACTGGAGTGGGCTTTTGAGAGCTGGGCTTCGCTCCCGGGGGCTCAACTCAGAAACTGCAGAGGCCCGTGATGCAGAACCAGCACTATATGTGGTGGCATCTGGCCATGGTTTCGAGCTGTCAGATGCTTTTGTATCTTGAGAGGTGCCTCCAGAGAACGTCTGCTCCTTGGCCTCGTCTCCTTGGTTATCCCCGGCAGCCTGAGATGGCCGGCTATCCTTGGAAGAGGACTTTTTCTCCTTTGCAGACTTGCGCTTAGATTCCACTCGGCTGTGGTTGGAGGAAGAACGAGAGGATGAGGAGCGCCTTGACCTGTCAGAGGAAGACTTATCGGAGTTTCTAGAATGGCTCCTGGATCTCGGTGAAGGGGACCTTCTCTTTGGGGACCGGGATCGGGAGCGGCCCCGACGAGGACTGTATGCCTGCCGGTAATTCTGCCAGTTGGAGCGGTAGTTTCCATAGCCACCTCGGTTATACTGGCCCCACGGATAAAAGCCTCTGTTGCGCCCACGGAAATAATAGGGCCTTCTATAGCCTCTGTTGTGACCTCGGAAATCCCGATTCTGATATACTCTTGGGTGATTTCTCTCTCTGTTATGAGCTGGAGAATACGATCTGGAACGAGACCTAGAACTGAAAAGGGGAATGGGGGAAATAATTTGAATTTTTGACACAAGCCTTTTTATTTAAGAAATACCTGCCAATGAAGAGTAACAGTTTGAAATCTTGTTCTTATGTATTTTATTGTTTTGTTCTCAAAGAAACAAACAAACATTTAATCCCACTGCTGACCCACATTAAGTACAAATATAGATAAGAATCACCTTCACAAATGACCCACTGAGATTGCTTCATTAATATTGTAGTGCATTTTAAACAGAAATGTATTTCTACAGTGACTAAAAGAACATCAAATGTTCTTAATGTAGTAACTAAACACAACCATTTTAATTAGAGTTTAACATGGGATTTTACAGGTCCCTACATCACTGGAAGTCAGGAAGAATACAAGCTCGGGGTCGCAGACTTAGGTGCAGACTATGCAGGTCCTTTGGCCCCTACACTGGTATAACATTTTACTCCTCATCCCATTCAGCCCTCTCTGTCTGGCAGGGCTACTTTCTTAGATTCCACTAAGACCTGGGATTGTAAATACATAGTCCCAAGCAAAGAACACTTAAACAGGAACTTGCCAAAGCTCAGAAGAATTAACTGAAATCAGGTCAGCAAAAAATATAAATATAATGGTTTTTTTTACTGAGGACCTGGAAATGGTCTCACTACTCAGGTCAAGTTTCTCTTGTTGAACTACAAGATCCTACCTGGGTGCCACAAGAGGGCACCATCTGATCATAAGACACCCAAGGACAGGTTAACCAATGAAAACTCCAAAATGAGCCCCCTTCCCGCATCACCACCCACATTTCTTTCAAGCCAACCTAAAGCCCAGTGTTGTGTTCTTCTTCATTCAACAGCATGGAACTCTAATTGAGCAAAGGCACATTTCCAGAACCACGGGGATTCAACAGTGACCTAACTTTGTAAAAATTACATGTTTATGAATGCTAGGCTGGTCAATGACAGGGAGCTTTGTTTCTAACAAAAAGCCAAAAATTGTTATCTGTTGGTATAAAAACCCACTGGGGTCCTTGGATACCTGATGTGCCTTGTCAACTAAGATACAGATCATTCACATTAACCACTACTCCTGAGTAGTTACATAAAAATATGTAAAATTATTAGAAAAGTCTTTCCAAAAATATTTTCTTCAGATATAGTAGAATAAAAACCCTTTGGTTCATCAACAGAACTTTTCATATTAGACCTAACTAGGAACAGATACATTTTGCTTGCTTGTTTTATAAGTAACTCCATTTAGCAAATGTGACAGGTCTTAACTAAACAATGGTGCTTTTAAAAAGAAACTTAGATTTAATTTAATCTAAAGAAGATAAAGTAAAATTGGTCTTCCCCTCCTTACTACCCATGGGGTTCAGGTTCTTTATCCACCCCAAGAATAGTAATGACTGGCAAAAATGCATCATATTGCTGGTTGTTAACAGTTGCTATTTAAGTACAATTAAAAAACAAAAACAAAAACTTACCTTCCAAACTTTTCATTCGAAAACAGTAACAATATAAGAAAAGAAGGAAGAGGCAGATGCAGGCTATGAAACTGAACATGACCCGATTAAATGGCTATACTTGAGGGAGGTGATGCACCACCAGCACTAAGGAGGGTTTAATTCATGTTCCCATCCTCAGAGGCTACTGCTGCTTCTGTCACCAATTACTAGTGAGGGCCCTGTGGCATACTGCATCCAAAACCCGCAGTCATTGCACAGATGCAGGAGCATGAGTCTCTGCAGATTGCAAATGAAGTTATTTACGAGAAGGCACTTAAAAGGATACAGTCTGTGAAATACAAGGAAACAATCAATTTTCTCCAATTCTGTAGAACTCAGCAGTTAATTTAATTTAAAAGCATGGTTTCTCAAACTCTCTGGATAGTATACTTTCCTTGTAGGAGAAGGAAAACAAAAGAAAAAAAAATCATGGAACAGATAAGCCAGAAATAAAAACTGAACATCCAGTGGCAAATTTATCTGTTTCTAAAAAACAGAGATGTCAGACTAGAATCGAGTATAAAAACATGTTTTCTGTGGAGAAATTCCTCCAAAGTAACAATCTTCTCAGTATAAGATAGCACATAAAGTGGCTCTAGACCTACCCCAGCACATACTGCCCAAGGTATTTTTCCCTCATTTTCCAAGTCAATGACCATGCCAAATAATCTGTAGAGTAAGAAGAAGAGATCTGTCTAGATAGATCTGTCCAGAATCCCAGTTATCACAGATACTTCACAGCTGGTTAGCATTTTTCACTTTGGTTTGTGTCAGTTCAATTTTGTCACTCAGTTTTGGTTGTATAGCTTGTTTTTGAGCCAATTACTTAATTTCATTTACTCGATTAAGTTTTCAAGTGTTACCTTTCAGAACCAACTGAGCTAAACTGAAATTTAAATGGCCCAAATCCAAAGACTCTGGGTGCAAGGCAGGAATTACTAAAAGTTGCTGCTCAATCCCATATCTTGATAGCAACTACCTTAGGAACTTAGTGGGTTTCCCTCTTCTTTTTTCAGAGAGGTGAAAGGTGGGATAGAATTTTACTTAAAATGGACTCTCACACAATTGGGCAATAACCTCTATCTAGCCTAAGGCTTGAACTAAGTTTGGTATAAAAATGCATGCCCAAAAAACAAAGAGGAGAGGAAAGGCTAGGACTCATTACCCTCAAGGTGTAATGTTATCTTTCAAAATAAAAATTTAAAAAATCTAGTGTTTCTTTTGTTTGAGGAAGAGACTCACTATATTCTACATTATCAGAATCATTAATATTTATGGACGCCAACTTTTTAATTCACCCTCTGGTCTGAAATTACTTTTCAGGCAGGTCTCTTACAGATCCATTTAAAAATTAACTTGTTCTCATCACTTCTTGGCCTTTTGGCTAAGATCAAGTGAAGAATTAACTTGTTGGGAGGGGGAAAAAAAAATTCCACCAACCATCTCTTTAAGACATTTTAGGAATACTACAGGGCTATGGGAATAAAGAATGCAGCTTAATAACTACTTTTCCTGAGGTTTATTTTAAATTTCATAATCAGTTCATTTAACAAAAGAATTCTTAAATACTCGTGTGAAATAAAGAGTAGGGGGGTTCCCAAGCGGTGAGACTGAGAAATTACCTCCTTGCCTGGTGCAATTCTGACAAAAAGAACAAAACTGTGCACATTATCCCCCGTTTGGTAGTTAAATACATTGACATTCACGTGTAGAAACTTGTATATACTAAAAAGTTCTCGTCTACTCACAAAAGAAAATTAAAACAGTTTTAAAGAATGAAAAACCCAACTCCCAACACATCAAAAGAGAAAAGGCGCTGGAGGGTTAGCATCCTATTTTAAGACATAACTGAAATAGGGAAATCCACCTAAAGATGTGAATACTGACTAAATTAAAGAACACTGGCAATAAAATCAAAAGAATTCCTTGTTCACTTAGGCACAGTGATGTCTCCAAGAGTGATTTTCGGATAGCTTTGCTGTGGTTTACTAGACAGACACTGCCTGTTGGTAACTGGCACATCAGGTGAACGTTTACAAATGATTCCCGTTAAGTTTTTATGGTTTAATTATGTCAGAGTAATAAGGCTTCTCTCCTCACAATGTCAGTCATACTATTAATCATCCTAGCTATCCTTTCTTTGCCGAGGATGCATATAAACTTTGGTCCAAAGCCTCCAAAAATACTCCAGGGAAAAACAATCAGGTGTAGAGATTTGAAGCAAGCAGTTCAGATAAAAAAAAAAAATGCTCTTTCATCCAAAGTAGATAAGTAACAGCATATACTGGCAGAGGAGAAAAGCAATTAGGCAAACAGCATGGCAATCAAAGGTGATTTGGATTCACAGCATTTCAAGACACCTGTAATATCTTACAGCCCAACCCTCCGCCTTAAGCCAACCCACTCCAACTGACACTCACAGAAAGAGTCTAGCAAAAGCTCTTCAGAGACCCACGATGACCGATGCAATGGTTATCCTGATACACAATCACATCCCCTTACCTCAGCCTGCGCTTCCTTGAACGAGAGACAGATCGACTTCGGGACCGAGACTTCGAAAATGAACGAGAACGAGATCTTGATGCAGATCTTGAGCGAGAAGAGCGAGATCCAGACTTGGATTTGTTTGTTTTTGACATCTCTGAAGAGGTCACTTTTCAATTACACCTAAAGAAAGAAAACAAATTCAAACAAATGAGGGAATACCTTTGCAAACTTCAACTTGTCTGGACACAGAAACAAAAACCACACACACACACACACACAAAACGCACACACACAGATAAAATGACTGATTAAAAACACTCTGCCCTGTTACCAAGAGGAATTTCTATGTTAATCATACTTCAATTAAAAAAAAATTTTTTTTAGGGGCACCTGGCTGGCTCAGTTGGTAGAACATGCAACTCTTGATCTCAGAGTTGTGAGTTTTGAGTCCCATGTTAGGCATGGAGCTTACAAACAAACAATTTATTTTTAAAGGAGGGATTTCTAAGCAGTACAGTTCCAAACAGTCCAAGACAATTCCTAAGTATTCCCAAGCAGCAAATGGGAAATCTGACCTGTAGCCCTGATTTGGGAACACAATGAAACACTAACAAAAGTGAGGGGAACTACCAATGATTTGGTGCATACCATCTTTTTTCAATAAACAAGTTTTTCAGACTAAGTCAGCTGTTAAAAGTATTGAGACCTGAGACAGGTTTCCCAATTCTAAGAATGGAAACTATGCAATGGTATCTTGGTTACTGAGTATTAACATCTGGCCATTTTCTACTCCCTGGGCTTTAAAGTCATGAGGCAAATCCTTAATATTTAATTCCAAGGAAGATTTAAAAAGCGTGACAGAACAACAAATGGGGCTGGGAAAACTGGACAGCTACATGCAAAAGAATGAAACTGGGTAACTTTCTTACACCACACACAAAAATAAACTCAAAATGGATGAAGGACCTAAATGTGAGACCTGAAACCATAAAAATCCTAGAAGAGAGCACAGGCAGTAATTTCTTTGACATTGGCTATAGCAACATTTTTCTAGATAAACCTCCTGAGGCAAGGGAAACAAAAGCAAAAATAAACTATTGGGACTACATCAAAATAAAAAGCTTCTGCACAGTGAAGGAAACACAATCAATAAAACAAAAGACAACCTACGGAACGGGAGAAGATATTTGCAAATAATGTATGTGATAAGGAGTTGGTATCCAAAATATATGAAGAACTCCTACAACTCCACACACACACACACACACACACACACACACACACACACCCACACCCACACCCACACACCCACCCCCACCCCCCCATTAAAACATGGGCAGAAGACACGGACATTTCTCCAAAGACATACAGATGGCCAACAGACAAGAGGAAAAGAGCTCAACATCACTCATCATCAGGGAAATGCAAATCAAAAACCACAGTGAGGTACTGGGGCGGCTGGGTGGCTCAGTTGGTTAAGCGACTGCCTTCGGCTCAGGTCATGATCCTGGAGTCCCGGGATCGAGTCCCGCATCTGGCTCCCTGCTTGGCAGGGAGTCTGCTTCTCCCTCTGACCCTCCCCCTTCTCGTGCTGTCTCTCATTCTCTCTGTCTCAAATAAATAAATAAAATCTTCAAAAAAAAAAAAACCCACAGTGAGGTATCACCTCACACCTGTCAGAATGGCTAAAATGAAAAACACTAGAAACAACAAGGGTAGGTGAGGATGTGGAGAAAAAGGAACCCTCCTGTGCTGTGGTGGGAATGCAAGCTGGTGCAGCCACTGTGGAAAACAGTACGGAGGTTCCTCAAAAAATTAAAAATAGAATTACCATATGATCCAGGAATTCCACTACTGGATACTTACCCAATGAGTATGAAAATGCTAATTCAAAAAGACATATGCACCCCTATGTTTACTGCAGCATTATTTACAATGGCCAACATATGGAGGTAACCCAAGTGTCCATCAACAGATGGATAAAAAAGATGTGGATGGGGCAGCCGGGTGGCTCAGCTGGTTAAGCATCCGGACTCTTGATTTTGGCTCAAGTAATGATCTCAAGGTACTGGGCTCTGCGCTCAGTGGAGAGTCTGCTTGAGATTCTCTCTCCCTCTCCCTCTCCCCCTCCCCAAGCCACCTTCTCTCTCAAATAAATAAATCTCTAAACAAAATGTATTATCAAATACTCTAATACCACGGTGGCATGTTACTAAATCCTGTAAATACACGATAGCAATTCATAAACACAGTACTAAGGTAATTTATAAAGTGAAGAACTGTCACTTTCCTCTAGTTCTTTAGCATCAAGGGTCAACCTTTTTTCAGGTTTCCCATGAAAAAACAAAATTTTCTTTTTCCTTTTCTTTCCTCCCCCACAGGAATGAATAGAGAGCCTCAGAGGTGCCCTGACAAGTTTGCTTGGTTTTGTCTTCAAGGTACGCTCTATCAAGCCAATTCACTTGTCCTCCTTTAAACCCTACTACAACTCTGGGCATCTTCCAAGCAGAAAGCTGAAGTGCTATACCACATGTCTACCAAAGACCAGGAAGAACAAGGGATCTGTCAAAACCCACAAAGCTAATTAACAGGCCAAAATTCCAGAGCTTACTCTACCACACATCACTGCCTCACTGCTTTGCTGAAGAGTCTTTTATGATGCTGCCCCTGGCTTGGGAAAAATTAAATGGGAAAATGATAATCAGCAAACATGTCCCCCTCCTCTACCTCCTTGATTTTGTTATTCAGATCTCAGCTCAAGAGCCATCTCCTCAGAGGTTCGCCTGACCATACAATCAAAAGTAGCCACCCAGTCCTTCTCTAGGGTGCTCCAGGTCAGAGGGGAAATAACCATAACCATGGAAAAGAGACCTGATTTAGAGGAGGAGAGAGAAACTGCCAGGAAGCCAAAGGGTAATGAGTAAGACATTGCTAAATGAGGATGCCGAAGGCCTAGAGTCTAGACCCGACCAAAGGGACTGAACCGTTGTGTGTTTCAGCAAGGTCAAAGAGATCTCCATTTGAAGCCGATTTTTGGCAGCAGTCATTATGCAAAGCCAAGGTAGAGGACTAGGTTATTCAGGGATAGGAGGTGGAGGTGTAACGGAGCCATTTATACAAACTGAGTATGGAAATGCATTTTGTTTTTCTGGTTGGCCTTCAGGATGTCTTGGGTTTTTCTGGGTTCAGTCTTGCTGAATAGCTTTTTTCTGTCACAAGTTTAGGGCTATCTCTGTCTGCCTCATAACATCTCTGCCCAATCTTCAATTTTAGCTTTAGCAATTTAGCCAGAATGGAAAATCCTTTTAGATCATTCACACAACAAGTGGACAATATCAGACTTTAAAAGAAAAGGCGGGGAAAAGCGGCAAGTTAGTGTCAAAGGCAATGCTCATTTCAACCCTCAGAAATTGGAAAATTAAGCTAATTTTCTGGGGTGCCTGGGTGGCTCAGATGGTTAAGCATCTGTCTTCAGCTCAGGTCATGGTCTCCACGTCCTGGGATTGAGCCCCATGTCGGGCTCCCTGCTCAGTGGGGAGTCTGCTTCTCCCTCTCCCTCTCCCCTATGCTTGTGCTCGCTCTCTCAAATGAATAAAATCTTTTTTTTTTTTTTAAAGCTAATTTTCACTAAGAGGAAGAAAATGTCCCCTAAATACAGATAGAGCCGAACTTAACATTTCTACATATATTAAACTTACTAAATGGGCACCTGGGTGGCTCAGTCGTTAAGCATCTGCCTTCGGCTCAGGTCATGATCCCAGGGTCCTGGGATCGAGCCCCGCATCGGGCTCCCTGCTCCTCCCTCTCCCACTCCCCCTGCTTGTGTTCCCTCTCTCGCTGTGTCTCTCTCTGTCAAATTAAAAAAAAAAAAAAAAACTTACTAGAATTGACAAGTACGCTTAAGAGTCACAATACTGTAATACCACCCTTACTCCTACTCCTGGAACTTTTTAAATGTGAATTGAAACTGATTTTAAAAACCTCATTATACCCTGAGATGTAAATGGAATAACTTTGGATGATACAAAACCACAGCTGCAAATAAATCAATGAATCATTTAACGCATTCAAGAGGATGCTAGCTAGTGGATAAACACTTCAAATTAAAGCGGATTTGGGGTGCCTGGGTAGCTGAGTTCAGCTCAGGTCTTGATCTCAGAACTGTGAGATTGACGGGACTGGGTGTGGAGCCTGCTTAAGATTCTCTCTCTCGGGGCGCCTGGGTGGCTCAGTCGGTTAAGCGACTGCCTTCGGCTCAGGTCATGATCCTGGAGTCCCGGGATCGAGTCCCGCATCGGGCTCCCTGCTCCGCGGGGAGCCTGCTTCTCCCTCTGACCCTCCTCCCTCTCATTCTGTCTCAAATAAATAAATAAAATCTTTAAAAAAAAAAAAAGATTCTCTCTCTCCCTCTGCCCCACCCCGCCTTAAAAAAAATTTAAACCAGATTTGATTTTGCCTCCAAGGAGCTTATTAGAGTCTAGAGGTGCTGAGAGACACAAATAAGCTACCAAGCAAAAATGTAACTACAAATTCTGGTAGGTACGAGAAGACAAAGACCATATAACATTAAATTTATACAGTGTAGTAGTGACTTACTTAGATAAGATCGTCAAGAGGTGGCATTTAAGCTGTCACCTGAAGATTAACAAAGAGCAAGTTATATGAAGAGAAAGGGAAAGGAAGTGTCCAAAAGACATTAAGTTTTTTCTCTTGATATACATACATATACTTCTTAGTATAAGGTAGGGACAATCTTAAGTAAAGCCATTTAATCAAATAAGCAAACTCCATTCAAAACAACTCTCAATTCTTTTTGAAGACTTTTAGACGTCACTGTGATTACACACATCTTTTCCTCTTTCTACCATTTCTTCTGTGTCCATGTTCTACAAAAATATTGGGAAGTGAGAAAGACAAATACCACTTTGGAAATCAATTTGGCACCTTTTAACATGTTACCAGTACCTAGCATTTGATTTCTGTTCAAACTAGAATTCCCCCAAAGAAGTTTTGCTTCTTCAACAAAGCCCACCCTTCCTGAAGAGGCTGTTTCATTTAGAGTATTATAAAAAAGTCCAGTCCCTACAGAAGAACTATGGCGTAATATGATGGCTCATGACTATGAAATGTGGCTCAGGTAAAAACATGTCCCCTCAAACACAATTTGGGTAAAAACTGCT